TCTCTGCCCCTCCCCCGCTCACACTCTGTGTCTCTCTCTCTCTCCAAAATAAATAAACATGAAAAAAAAACCCAAACCATAAATTGGATCATGTGAATCCCTGGCTTGGGTACTTTCGCACTCATGTGACCTCAAGTAGGGTCTCAATCCTCACAATCACTATTGTGCAGTGCACAAACTATACAACCATGCCCGGCAGCACTACCATTATGGACAACCAGCAGTTAAAAGGAGACCGAGAAGAAGGGGCCCACGTGACGTCAGAAAAAAGCCACTGAGAAGTGGTGTCCCAGCAGCCTGCGTGTATCACCTTTCAAGAGGAAAGGTGAGGTCAGATGCTGCTGAGTTGAGGGATAGGAAGCTGGAGAGGCAGCCCATGGATTTAGCTAATTAACAAGGCTGTGCTGGGGGCCCTGGACAGGAGCTAAGGCTCACCCGACTGTCCATCTGTCTGTCTTCCTCAGGTTGGGACTCTCTCCCCTCAGCATCTGGAGAATGAGAAGATTCTATTTCATGCCAAGATTCCCGAAACCCTGCAGTCCCACACGCCCCTCCCACCCTCAGATAGGGAGACTGCGGCCCGACAGGGGGCGGGGATGTACCTGGAATCACACAGATTGGCGGTTTTCATGCGAAGCCCAGAACCTGTCCCGACCCCTCCTCCTGGCCCTTTCTCCCTCCTTCCCAGTTAGCCTGCTTCTCCTCCTGGACGGGGAGCCACGGAGTCGGAGCTGAGGGAGGACAGCAGGGCCATTAGGCAGCAGTGAAGCGGCTACAGGCAGAGGTGGGAGGTTGGGGGAGGATCTTTGGGGAGAAATTACCTTTTCTGCAGGGCTCTGGTCTCAGCCTCAGGATGTAGAGCACCTGCACAAAGTTAGAAATTCGCTTCTAACCCACCCCAGAACCTGGCCCCCGGGGCTGCATTAGGATCTCAGAGATCTGAGCCCTGACAAGGTTATACAGCCGCCGCCATCAATCTGGGATTCAATCTGGGATTCAGGGCCAACACGAAACCAAACACAAAACACGCAAAACACACTAAACTCTAACACACAAAACGTGCATGGATGATTCAAATACATTTTCTTTTTCTAAAACTGAAAGAACATCTTTAAAAGTCTAGGTCTGGGGCGCCTGGGTGGCTCAGTCAGTTAGGCAGCTGCCTCTTGGTTTTGGCTCAGTTCATGATCTCATCGTTTGTGGGTTCGAGCCCCGTGTCGGGCTCTGCACTGACAGTGCAGAGCCCGCTTGGGATTCTCTCTCTCCCTCTCTCTCTCTGCCCCTCCCCTGCTCTCACTCTGTCAAAATAAACGGATAAACATTAAACATATTTTAATAAAATAAAATAAAAGTCTGTGTCTGTTCTTGGGGCGCCTGGGTGGCTCAGTCGGTTAAGCATCTGACTTCGGCTCGGGCCATGATCTCATGGTTTGTGAGTTCGAGCCCCGTGTCGGGCTCTGTGCTGACAGTTCAGAGCCTGGAGCCTGCTTCGGGTTCTCTGTCTCCCTCTCTCTCTGCCCCTCCCCCACTCATGCTCTGTCTCTCTCTGTCTCAGAAATAAGTGAACATTAAAGTGTTCCCTCTGCCCCCATGCATTCACTAATTTACTCTATAAACTAGTGGATTTCCGTTATAGCCAGTGCATTGTAATCCAATACTTGGATGCTCAGATTATTCTAGAGTTTTCCAAAGGGAGTTCCTTCCAGCTGGCTCCTGGGTCATTCTGCCCTGTCTCCATCATTCTTTGTGAATGTTTGCACTTTCTGGCACACTGAGATGCCCCGGCAGCCTCCAGTAGTCCCCCTGTCCCAACCTGGAATAAAGAGTTTCTCCAATGAAACCTAATTCCTTCTTTTTACGAAACATTTTAAAGTCGATTTGTTTATTTTGAGAGAGAGAGAGGCAGAGAGAGAAAGAATCCCAAGCAGCCTCCACGCTTGGTGCGGACAGGGTTGAACCCACGAACCGTGAGATCATGACCTGAGCCTGTATCAAGAGTCAGACGCCAGGGGCGCCTGGGTGGCTCAGTCGGTTAAGCGGCCGACTTTGGCTCAGGTCATGATCTTGCGGTCCGTGAGTTGGAGCCCCGCGTCGGGCTCTGTGCTGACGGCTCAGAGCCTGGAGGGAGCCTGTTTCGGATTCTGTGTCTCCCCCCACTCTGACCCTCCCCTGTTCATGCTCTGTCTCTCTCTGTCTCAAAAATAAATACACGTTAAAAAAAATTAAAAAAAAAAAAAAGAGTCAGACGTTAAACTGAGCCACCCAGGAGCCCCTCCCCCCCCCCATTCCTTTTACTACAGGGCGGTATATAAAAGCCAGAACCTGGATGGTTGTTTGCTGTCAGTGTCTAGGTTTTATTGGTGGACATAGCTGGGACATACGTGTGCGTGTGTGTGTGTGTGTGTGTGCACCCGACAACCAACACACCCATACAGCTGTTTTGTGTCCGTCGATGTGTAAGGATATCTCTTAATGAGGTCACACTGACACTTCCAGTTCCGGTACGACAGCTCAGAGTTTTTTCTAGCCGCCTGCCTTTGCACATTTATAAATCCCTGCAGATCTTGAGCAACTGGGCTCCCTTTATCCCCGACATACTTACATATTTGCTCAAAGCAACTCATCTCCCAACTACTTCCGCATCCTGCTCCCACTCCTCACCGCTGTGACCTCTCCCCCCTGCTCTTGGCCGCAGGGAGACTGCATCCCTCCCAGAGGCCCCCCTCCTCATCACCGGCGTGGTTCCTCGGGTGTTGGGTGCAGGTACCCCCATGTGGGACCCCTGCCCTCATAACTGCGCTTCCTGGGAATCCCCATCTCTGTCCCAAGGAGGTTGTGATGGGAAGAGATTCCTAGACATTTTTTTTTTTTTGTTATTGTTCATTTTGGAGGCTTTTCCAAACTGAACACGTCTTTCTGTTTTGGTGCCATTTGTTTGGTGCTCTAAGAAAAGCCACTTCATGTCTTTAGGGTAAGATCTCCCTTCTCAGCTAGACCAGACATCGCCATCCGCTTACCTGACTTGCAGCATTTTTTCTGGTGCCGGAGTCGGAGAAGGAGGAGGAGGACGAGGAGGGCAAGCAGCAAGATTAAGGTCACAGAGGCCCCGATCACAATTTTCTGGTACTTTTCAAGACCTTGGACACAAGTGATGTCATGAATGAACCAATGATGTCAGTTAACTGAGCACCTACTGTGTGTGGACCCGTGCTGGGGTCTATGCATTCATTTGCCGCTAATCCCCATAATAATCATGCACCAGGGGAAGGCCACCCTGCCTTCACCCATTTCACAGACGAGGAGACCAAGGCTCAGAGCGATCAGTCAGGTGCCTCAGATCCCCCAGCCAGGAAGCGGGTGACAGAGCTGGGATTTGAACCCAGGACTGTGGGCTCCCTGTGCCCTCCTCACACTGCCCACCCTAATGGACACCTGCTTCAGGCTCTGGGCTCCTACCTTGACTGGGATGGCCTGTTCCATCGTCCCCATGTGTCCTGCCCTCTCTTGTAGCCAGAGGTGAACACACCTCCTATTGTCAGAGGCTTTGGGGTGCTCAGAACCGGGCCTGCATGGGACGGACTCCATGCCTTCCCAGGTCCAGCCAAGACCCGTCCTCCCGCTGCAGACCTCACACTCACAAGTGGGGCCGGTCTGGGTTTTTCAGCATGCCAGTTCCTGCACACCCCGTGGGTCTGTTCCACGCAGAGGAATATTATTTCCAAGATCCCACCTAAACCTCTCAGCAAACCCATGAGGGAGACGGTAGGAGATGCGTTTAGTAAGGAGTGAAGTGGGGACTCAGACAGGGAAAGGACTTGTCCGCGGACCCACAGTCTGGAAGTGGCTCATCTGGGATTTACATCCTCTAGAGCCCGACCGCCAAGCCCTTGTTTGTTTCTGTTTGATGCTGATTTCTTTCCATCAGGGCTGCCTGGGTAAGGCCAGGCTGAGCACCACAGGGCTGGCAGAAGAGTACTGGGGACGTCACCAGCATCACTGCTCTGCTCTTCTCTGCACCCTGCAACCCACACTGTGCACCTTCCAATTCTACAGACCTAGGGCAGCGCCCCTACGGGGTCAGAGAGGACATGACCATGAAATCTGAGCCAGGACTCTCCCCTATCACAAAGAGAGAAACGGAGGCCCTGATGGAAAGGGACCTGCCCCAAATCACCGTCTCAGGGAGCACTGAGACCTCTCCCCTCAGTGGGCCCTACCATGTACATCATAAACCCAGGGCAGGGAGGTGAGGTGGTGAGGTGGTGAGGTGAGGCTATCCGAGCTCCTCACTTCAGCCTGGCTCCTGCTCCCCCAGCTGGGCCCCCACCCTCTCCCTCTGCCACGGCCACCCCAGCCCTCCTCTGTCGGCTTGGAGCCTGGTGGTCCCCCTGGCATCTTTACTGGACTCCCAGCCCCCTTGGATGCAAGATGGTTTCTGAGCATCTCAGGGGGAGGTAGATCCTCTGAGAGGCTCTCAGACTCCCTGAGATTGTCTGTACTCCTTCTGAGCGAAGAGGCCCCAGTGACTCACTCTCTGTGGAGCCAGGTCCTGTGGGTGGGGGGCTGGGGCCCCCAGAAGTTCCTGGGAAAGAGACAAGAGGAGGGTAGGGGGCTGGAGCTTCCCAGACAGACCCCCTCTAGGCTCAAACTCTTCTGGTGGATCTTCCCTGGAGCCCCGAAAGACCCTCCTGCATCCACCTGGAGCTTCTAGTGATGGGCTTGTAGGAAGGGGCAGGGGTGGGAGGACCCCATGGCCCTCCATTCCTCTGAGGGGTGGCTGTCCCTCTGGATGACCCTCCCTTGCAACCCCTCATTCTCAGCCTCTGTCCCACACAGAGCCTAGAGGAGACCACAGGAACACATATGGGACAGGTTCTCACCTGAGACCAGGAGCTCCAGGGGTTTACTGGGGTAGGACCACATCTGGGGGGTTTTGCTGAAATAGCCATAGCATCTGAATGTCCACCTGACGTTGGGGGTCACGGGGCCCACAGGAAACAGGGCCTGGAACTGCCCACTGGTGGGTCGCTGGGAGTCGAGGGTCGACGAGGGCCTGGGTTCTCCTTCCTTCCTCAGGACAAACCTGTCAAATTTCTCCCATGAGGCACACTGGAGGGTCACCTTCCCTCCTGAGGTCACGATGGGGCTGGGCAGGGCTGAGAGACGGGGTTTGCCATGGAATCCTAGGAGAGGAGGAGGGGGCGTGTTAAATGGGGCTCAGATTCCACCCCCCACAATACCCCCAGGGCTGGACT